CCCCTCCTCTTCCCTTCCCTTTCCTTCCTAATTGCCTACCTACCTTCCAGCCTAGTGCCACCCATTCAGGAGTTCTCACAGGACCATTATTAAGTTGAGTTGACTTTACTGAATTCAGCCTCCAGAGTTTCTCCCAACTACCTTTCAACAACCTCTTCTATAACACCCCCACCTTTCCTGTCCTCAGTTTTGTCTCCCATCTCCCCAAAGATGGATAGCACTCTCCATGTCAGGGTTTCCAAGCAACAAAGAAGCCTTACTGGGGCCTGCGCCCCTGCCCTGCCTCTCTTGCCTGAGACTCTAGATCTTAAGCTGCTAGGAGACAGTGGTAAGGAAGGGCAGACAATCTCATCCCGCCTCCCTCCCTTCACCTCTAGTACCTCCAGTGCTCCCCGGAGAGAAGCTGTGAGAAGCTAGTCTCTCCCAACCTTAGCATCGAGACAGGTGGAAAAGCAGCAATAATCCAATTAAAGTGTCTGACACTCTGGGGAGGAGGTGGGCACACGGGGGCTGTTACAAGTTGTGTTTCACTGGCTGTGGATACCTACAGGGAGAACGCTTGCCATAAGATACACAGATTAAACCAGCGGCCTCTGCTTTCTCTCCAGAGTGTTATTGTAAGAAATTGGTTTGGGGCAGGAGGGGATGGGATTCTTTCTCTTACTTTTCCCACCTTGAGGGCACTTAGAGGAGTAGAAAGAGGAAATGTTGGAGGGAGGAAAGGAATAAATCAAAGAGCTGGCATGGTTAGAAAAGCCAAGAGTGTCTCCAGCTGAGCAAAGTCTGCTCAGGTGAGGGGCAGCGCCTGACTTAGTCCTTCCCTCTATCAGGCTTGATGCATATCCTCACAGTCTTCCTTTTCTTGTTAGATGCTTGCCACTGCCCCAGGTCTTGGACTCCCAGGGTAGCTTCTGAGCCCCACACAAAGCCCAGGCACCATCCTTAGGAAGGGATGAAAGGCAAACCATCTACAGTCCATCTTCCACCAAGGATGTTGGCTTCTAACAAAAAATGGCCCTTGGAACTGAGCCCTTCCTTGGAGGTGTGGGATGCTGCACCACCCCCCAACCCCGTCCTCCTACACAGTATCCCAGCACCGTGGTGACCCCCAACACCCTAGTTACAACCAGTCCCAACTCACTCGACCACCTCTCCATCCATAAATCTCTGTCCACACCTGAGAGGCTGTCCCAGCCTCCCACACTGCTATAGCTGGTCCAGCAGGCACACTTCTAGCTGACTGGACTGGACCAAGTTAAATGCTCTTCTCTTCATTTTCCAAAACAGTTCTATTCTGACTGAAGTGAACAATATGAAGGAGCACAACTGAGCCCTGGCGCAGGATGAAAAGTTTCTTATATCTAAAGAGCGGCACTTCAAAGTGTCCAGTGGACAGGTTCCACTGTAATTAGGGGGAGGAAATTGCCATGTAACTTAATTAATATCAAAAGCTTTTTTTTCTTCATTTAAATACAAGACAGGAAGTTGGCTAAAGAGAGGGTGGGAAGAAGCTACTGACAGTCTGACTGGCTCAGTCATGGGCAGAACAGTCATAAACTTGTTTTCTAGATGAGTCCCTGGGTCAGAGAAGAACTCTAATGCCACAAGGTGATCGTTGCCAAAGAAAAGGACTTCTCCCATCTTGAAGCTCTGAGCATTGTGCAAAATAAAGTGAAGATCCAAGAGAGTTACCTAGATATTTCAAAAGGGAAATGCAGAAATCCTATTTTATAAGAAGTGTTTGCAGAAAGTGGTTTGGGAGAGCCTGTCCTTTGTTCTTTGCAGTAGTGTGTGTGTCAGTGTGTGTGTGTGTGTGTGTGTGTGTGTGTGTGTGTGTGTGTGTGTGTGTTGTGGTGTGTTTGGATGTGTATGTGTGGTATATGGATGTGTGTGGTGTATGTGTGTGTGTGTTTTGTGCTGTGTTTGGATGTGTGTGTGTGGTATATGGATGTATGTGTGTGGTGTATGTGTGTGTTCATTCTCATGCTACAAGCACATCTCATGTGTGTGTAGGTAGATATGTTGATCCAGTGCCAGACATCATTCCTACGGAGCTGTCTATCTTATTTTGGGCTTGTTTGTGTTTTGGTAGCTTAGGAGTTTTGTTGTTGTCTTCGTTGTAGGTTGGCTATGTTTTCGTTTTGGTTTTGGTTTGTTTTTTTGAGACTTGGAACTGGAGCTCTCTGACTCAGCTAGGCTGGCTGACTAGCAAGCCTTAGTTAGCTCTCTGCTGTCTCCACCTCTCCAGAGCTGGAATTACAAGCACACACCATCACACCAGCATTTTTCTTAAACATGACTTGTTGGGATGAAAGCCAAGCAAGCGCACTACCACTGAGCTCCTTTCCCATCCCCTACCTAAGAATTTTACTGGAAACCATCCCCCACTTTCTTCTGCACACTGCTCCCGCAGACTTCTGGGAATCTGCCTGCTTTCTTCTTCTCTCTAGATAATCAGTCCATCCCAGCCATTCTGACTCCTAAGTCTCCCAGACCGGTCCTCCTCTGTCCTGTCTTCACCTGGTTTACAAGTAGGATCCTTCCTGGTCCTTCTGTTTTGATCATTTGTTCTTAGGAGCCCACTTCCCAACTGGCAGACAGGATAGGGTTTTTTGTTTATTTGTTTGTTGTTTGACAGTTTATTTGTGTTGTTGTTGTTGTTTAGACAGGCTTACTATAACAGCACTAGAGGGCCTGGAACTCACAGAGATCCTCCTGCCCTTACCTGCTGAGTGCTGAAATTAAAGGTGTGTGTCACCACACCCAGCAACTGTGATTTTTTTAACAGTAGATAATGCAGCATATGCTTTATTGATAATCATTCATTAATATTCCCTAACACCCATGTCTTCATATATTTTTGTTTTCTCAGTTCAGTGTTGCGCAGCTATTAAATGAATGAAATCATACCATTTCTCTGCTCAGAAGCCTTCAGTGGCTTCCTGCCATGCCTAGAAATTATTGAAGGTTCCTCCGTGAGTGCTAGCAAGACCCTGGATGCTCTTGTCCCTGCCTGACTTCCTTCCTTGTTCTTAGTGCCAGCCAA